CTGTATAGACGGGAAAATCAGGCCGCTCTGATGCGAATCTAAACTTCTCTGTTGCCTTGGAAAGCCCTCTAACTGATAGGTGCAAGTGCCAACCTGACACGGGTTCAGGCACTGGTGGGTGACAACCCCTATGTAGTGAGCAGGAAAGCCCTCTACAAACAAGGGACCATGAGCAAGCCTTCCGAGGTTCTGACCTCCAATTTTCTCACACGCAGTAACCAACTTTCACCAGTCTGCTGGCCAATCCTTTTCCCGCTGAGAGAACCGCGCATGGAGTTCCGCCCTCCCCCCCCCCACCCCACCCTAACCCCACCCCCCTAAAAACACACACACACACACAGAGTTCAAGACACTCACCCCGCCCTTCCCCGCCCCCCACCCCCAGCCGCCTGCCTGCATTTGGATACTCACCTTGACAATGGGCGCGCGACTTCTAGACCTCAGGAGATAAAGGCAACAAAGAGTTCGGACGATTCCATATAAACCGCGTAAGAAGAACTGTAAATCAAGGCTGTTGTTTATGCTGATATGTATGTATATATATATATGGCCGATACATGAATATATATATATATACACATATCCGATATATATAGATATATATATACATACATATATATATATATATATGTATGTATATTCATATATAGATGTATACGAATGTGTAAGTATATCCAGCCTACGATTTGGCTGGGGCCTTAATGGAGTCGGAATCCCTCGTAGGACCTTCACATACTACTCGAACTGCTCGGCACACTTTGAGCTTGCCGCCTCCAGTTCCAGGCTGCCACAGGCAAACAAATATATATTTTTTGCCTGGTTAGTGGAATACGTGTATGTACTTAAAGGGCATTGGACTTAGCAAGTAGTAAGCTTGGATATAGCCCACTTATGATGGTTATAAGTCTCCGTTCGGTGGGTTATAACTCACCAGGCTTACTCTTACCACCTTACCTGACGCTGCCCAATCGCCCCTTCAAGTAGGTCTACAACTTGCTCTCAGGGAATGAGGGAATGGCCCTTTAAGTATGTTACATGGTAGATGGGGAGTACCGCAGCACATGACTTGAAGAAGCTTGCGAGCCGGCAGCCCAAATGCTCGCCCCCCTCCTCTCTTGAGCCTCGTCAAGGGGTAAAACCACCCAACGCTGTCCCATGTCCTTTCCGAGCATATTGAGGGCTCGCATACGATAAACACACAGACGACTTGAGAATTGCTTTTAACACTTGCAAGATGTCCAACCCTTGTGGCCTTGCCCACGTGAATGCGCGATGAAATGTTGCCTTCAAATAGCATGTTTTTGGTGTCGCTTTTGATGTCGGTTGTTTGCTCATTCAGAAATGCGAACCCAACTTCCTTACGGTATCTGATTTTCTTCCTCATTCATCTATTTGATATCGGTGGCTGTCGCTCATTCCTCTTCCTCATCTGGCTCCATTTGCTGATGCTCCAATCAATCAGCCTGCGATAAATCTCAGATCATGGTAACCAGCTGCACCCGTCATCGTGCCCTCGCCCGCCGAAGGACGCATCTGAAATCGATTTCTGGGACGTCTCGGGAAAGGGTCGAGTCTTCGAGACACGAACCCCTTGCATTTGAGGCGCTCGATCATGGTCCATGCTTCCCCAGCCGAACTTGATAAGAAATGATGTTGTCCAAGCCAAAACCGTGCCGAAATGTTTCGAAGTACAACACATATTCTTGAGCATAGACCGAAATGGTCAGTGCGGAAAGGTCGGTGCAAGATACGTTCCCGCACCTCAGCAGCATTTTATGGCTACACTGGCAGGTGCCTCTGAAGGTGTCGTTTTCAAACCATCTCAACCACGGGTCCCTTGTCTCTAGCTGAGCAAAGACCAGTTGTTTATCAGGCTTCTTTACATTGCAGGGTTCGGTGGCATGGTGTGTGGATCATCCACGCCAGGCACGCCCTCAACTTAGATTGTTTTTGACCCCACTGCATATCCAAGCTTGCTGGTGCTCAGCAGGGAATGAGGTGTTGGGAATGAACTGGAAGAGGATTCCTGGCAACCAAATCGGGGATGGTTCCAGCACAACCAGACTTCGACCCCCGGAAATCCCGAAAAAAATCAAGTCGCCTCCAAAATGTCTTCGGCTTTCTGCTGGCTTTCCCTCCAACCAAAAAGGAGGTGCCACAAAAAGAGATCACAAATCTACCTGCGGATGCCCAAAGGCTGCAAGGGAACAAGTCGGAAGCCCAACGTAGATTCAACCAGTTTGTGGTTGGTTTACTTGCAATATGTCGAAACGGGGCATCCACACTCAACCGGCGACCCTCGCTCTCCACGGAAAGAAAGCCCGCCGCTTGAGCCGCCCAGCGATTCGGAATCCTCGCTGGGCGTGTGGGAGCCAGTAGCACTGGCCGGCGCTGAGCTTGCAGGGGTGGTCAGCGCGCTGCTCAGTGCTGCCTGGATCTTCGAGCTCGGATCTGTCCGTTGTTTGCCCTTCAAGAGTGTTGCAACTAGGCCAGACGTGAC